GAAGGTTTGTGTGCATGATACACGAACATGTTTGGTTAAGTGAATGTGAAGGTAGCTCTCTCGTCTCTCTCATCCCACGTGCAGATTGACGTTGACAATTTTTGCATGGAGCATTAAAAAGTGGGACAAAAGGTGATAATAACGAATCCGAATTTGACACATTTTCTTATTTGTTTAGTTCGAAGTACCTACACAGAAAATTGCGTTGCTTATCGGCATGCATTTATGGGAAAATTGCAAAAAACGAATGTCCGCACTGAAAAAAAAAAGAAACAAATGTCCGCACTTTTTTATAGTTAACTTTTCTGTCAGCTCGGCTTTGCTAATCGAGAGCTGTTTTAGCGAGAGCAAAATTCCGATCGGCAGTGTTAGCAGCGCGGACTCGGAGAGTCCGTATTCGACAGTTCGCTCGTTGGAGGGTATGCGCGAGCGACTGCATTATGGTTCCCAGTCGGCTGATCCACCTGAAGGCTTCTTTTTAAAATCCATAAATTCCAAAAATTTAGAAGTGTCTAGAGCAAGTATCTCCCAAAAAAGTATTATTGCAGGCTTCATCAGGATGCGCAATGCTTCGCTGCAGCTAGATACCGATGATGCAGCTGTAGGCACGGATTCGTGTCGCGCTTTCTCACCGAACCGCCTTTCCAGACATCGCCGTGTACAACTTTCGCAGCGAGGGAATTTGTGCGACGAAAGTGCGATTTTGACTGTGAAGTGATAGGGAGGGATCTTGAGCCATGTTCTCCGGGCGAGCGCCGCTAGCACCGCAAATAGCAGGAAAGTAATCCAAAGATGTTTTGCTAGGCATTTTGACTAAATAATGGCATGCCCAATAAAGTCGCCTTTTGTTGACTTTCAAGGCGTACCTGGGTAACTCTTTTGTGTTGCTGAATGATCACTGCTAATGGAAAGGTGAGAAGTTGAAGAGACTCGTCCCCGTGAATTAATATCTGAGAGAGCGAGAAGTCTCCTTGACTGTCAGTTTTAAAGCACTGGCGAAAAAGTAACCGTTAAAAACTGTAGTTTTAGGTAATTCGGGTCGTTGGAGCAGTCGAAGTCGTCTCAGCAGCTGTAGTTCTACTGCAGATGAAGATTCCAGGCAAATTGCAATTGGAGTTTTATTCAGGCAAATCTCATTTTTCGTTGATGACTGGACGAAAGATAGGGAGAGATGGGAGAGTGAATATGAAGAGTGATGAGCCAGAAAAAACTGAAAGAAACATGTCGAAATGTTTGAGCATTGAAATGAGACTAGTTCGATTGGAATATAAATGTGTATATAAACACATATTTACCCCAAGATAGTATACATATATGTACATATATGTATATATACATACGTATATACATGTATGTATATACATACATGTATATGTATATATGTATATATATATATACACATATATATAGAAA